GGGGCGCTAGCCAGATTCAGCAGGCTGGGTGAATGAGTGGGAAGGAAGCAAAGGGGTCCGTTCCCCATCAGGGGACCTTCATGTGGACCGCATTTCCGCCAAGAATAGCCCAGAGAGGAGAACTGGGTGCTCGGGGCTGACTTACCCGCACTTTGGCCTGTCTTTGAGCCTCTGCTTCCACAGCCAGGGAGTGCTGCAGCCCAGCTGGCAGCCTCACATCCTTACTGTAAAAGGAAGGACAGGGGCATGGAGGCGGGCGGCAGGGGCTCTGAGTAGCCAGCGCTTCAGACAGATTTGCAAACCTCTCTGCTGCCCCTTCCTGACGAGTGGCACACTCTGACGGAAAAGGATGCTGTCTCTAGACCGAGAAGGTCAGCTCGAGGGCGGCTGCCTCAAATGCCCATTTGTATTATGTGGAGCAGACGCTCCCTGGAGCTGTGGTCCTCTCCTTGTAAGCACAACAACTTCGGGGTTGAGGGCTTGTGCTGAGTTTTCCCATATAAAGTCTAATCTCCACCCCAACTATTAAAGCAAAACATATATTTTTAAGTTTTGAAGAGTCATACTATTAATAATGAGGTAAGAAGAATTTAGCTACGCTTATAAAAGAGAATTGTTTTGAAAAGTGTAGAAGTGACCAACTAAGAACAATATTTCATGTATTAATAAGGATACAGAATTACATGTATCCTATACAACTATGAATAATGCATACATGAAGAACAATTTGGCAGTTCCTCTAAAGTTAAACATGGAGTTATCATATGGTCTAGCAATCCCATTTCTTAATATGTACACATGAAAGTTGAAAACACAAAAATGCCACTATGATGTTCATAGCAGTATAATTCAGGATAGCCACACACTAGAAACAACCCCAAGGTGAATCAACCCATGACAGATTAACAAAATGTTGTCTATCCATGCATTCACATGTCATACGATCACCAAAAGGAATGAAGTCCACGCTCCCACGAGGTTGGTACTTGAAAACATGATACTATGTGACAGAAGCCAGACACCAATGGCCACATGTGTGATTCAATTTACATAAATAAAGTGTCCAGAATATGCAACTCTAGAGAGACGGAAAGTAGACGAGGGACGGCCGAGGGCTTCTGGGCAGCATGACCTGCGTGGCACAGGGGCTCTTGTGC